CACACTCCTGCATGGCCTCTTCTGTACTGTACCTGGTTTGGTCAGCGTGGCTAGTAGAATAAGATGAAGTTATGACATGAAACTTCTGCAATGCTATGAAGGACTGTGGCTTCCACTTTGGGTGTGCTTTCTGTCACTTGGATTCCCCACACTGGAGGAGCCAAGAGCAGACTGAATGGGAAAGGCACACATGGTGAGAACTGAAGCCTTTTGCCAACAGTGAAGGAGCTTGGAGACACTTCACTCAGCCCCAGCCAAGCCTTCAGATGAGACTGCGGCCCTGGCCACTGCTTGACTGTAACCTCATGAGTGAGTCTAGGCCAGAACCGCTCAGCTCAGTCACTCTTTACAAACAGTAGTGAGAGATAATAAATATGTGTTGTTTAAGCTGCAAATGTGGGTGTAACATGCTGACCCTAACCCTAAACCTAACCCTAACATCAATAACTGCTAACACAGGAGGCAATATTCACAGTGGATCTTAAGGATGAATTCACCAAACAGAAACCAAGAAAACCACGAGGACATTATAGAAACAGCCCAAAGAGCTGAGGCCATGGGCTGTGGCTCAGTAGTGGAGTGCTTGCCTAGCATGTGTGAGGCACTGGGTCCGATTCTCAGCACTGCATATACATAAATGAATAAAATAAAGGTCCACCGACATCTAAAAAAATATTAAAAAAAAAAAAAACCTCAGGCCACAAAACCCAGGGCATTAAATGTGGGGCCAGAACATGTGCTGCTTTGGAGGAGACAGCAGATTTGGGTGTAACATGCTACACACCAATAACTGCTAACACAGGAGGCAATATTTAAAATGGGCCAGGCCAGGAGAAGTTCTGTGAGTTCTTTATCCTTTTAGTCAGTTGCTTCAGATATGTTTTAGTACTAGGAAAGCTTGCACAAAAAGCCAAACTAGGGCCTGGGGTAGAGCTCAGTGGTAGAGCACGTGCTTAGCAGGCACAAGGCCCTGGATTCCTTTCCCAGGCACCAAAATAAATAAATAGCCACAGTGTAACAAAATGGGCTCCTCTGGTTGGTGTTAGGTGGGGTGGGGTGGAGCATAAAAGGGTTTTTCCCCTCCTTCCCCCTCCCGACTTGCTTCTATCCACACAGGCCATCCTTGAAAGGGTACACAGCACACTGTGTAGAATGGTGGCCTCCAGGTAGGGGACCTGGTGGTTGAGCGGGCGGGAGGGAGAATCGCCTTTTACTATATTTTCTTCTGAGTTTTTTGAAGTTTACATCATGTGCACTGTTACTAATTCAGAGAAGCAAGTGATATTAATACAACAGGAACAGCAATAGCAAAAGCTCGTCCAGGGAAAAACCCGGAAAGGTGTTTAAATAGGCAGTTCTAGAGTCATATCACATGCAGGACGTTTTCTCGGCTGCTGGGTGTAGAACTGCTAATAAGCCAGCTGAGGAACACAGCACCAATCCACAGACCACTTGGAAGATGCCGGGTATAGGAACTGGGGCCCAGAGTAGAGCGTACGACCCGGGAACATACCTGAGGTGGAATGGCCAACACCCTTTAAACCACGACTGTCCATCCCACAGGTACTTACTCAGCACAAGTGAACAGATGGAGACAGGAGTGTACCCAGTGGGGCAGCTGACCGAGTTCAAGTACAAGTGTGTTATTCTCAAGCTCTGTGACCTTAGAGAGGCTAGTACTTCTCTGTGCCTCAGCTCTCTCATCTGTGAAATGGGATGCTAATATTAACTCTCATTTTCTGTTTTCGTTTTTCACTTTTTTTTTCCTTGTGGTGCTGGGGATTGAACCCAGGGCCTTGTGCATACGAGGCAAACCTCTACCAAAAGCTATATCCCCAGCCCGTTTTTCACTTTTTATCATAAAATGCTCAAACATGCAGAAAAGTGGAGAATAGTATAATGGACACCCATATTCCACCATCTAGACTTAGCAATTTCCAACATTTTTGCCATATTGCTTCATTTGGTTGTCATTGTCATTAAAATATTTAAAGCATTGACATCATTGAGTTTCACCACTAAATGATTCAGCATGCTCAAAGAAATGACATGTTTTCCTCCAGTAGCCACAATACTGTTATCATGCTGAACAACAGTAACAAAAATTTCTTTACATAACCTAATCCCTAATCCATATTCAGATTTGACTAAAGGTCCCCTGGATGTTTTTTACTGATTACATTTTTCAGGTTGGATTCTGGTCAAGGCCAAAACATGGCTCTCAGAGAGTCTTTGCTGCATGTTTTTGTTGCCAGGGATTGAACCCAGGGTGGCTTAACCACTGAACCACATCCCCAGCCCATTTATTTATTCATTCATTCATTCATTCATTCATTTATTAGAGACAGGGTCTTGCTGAATTGCCTAGGGCTTCACCAAGTTGCTGAGGCTGGTCTTGAATTCCCGATCCTCCTGCTTCAGCCTCCGGAGTCACTGGGATTACAGGCATGCACCACCACTCCCAGTTTTGCTGTATGTATTAAAAGTAACAATCAGCAGCATTTGGATGATTTTCCAGTACACTAGATGCTCTGTGAGCATTGGCTGTCTTAGGCCTTAGGGAGTGAGAGCTTACTCAAAGGGACCCAGGACTCACACAGCTGCAGACATACCAAGGAGAGTAAGAATGATAAGGGGGCATGAGGAAGAGGAAGCCTAAAAGATCAGGGGTGGTGACCCCAAGAATGGGCAGACGGCTGTCAGGGGAGCTGCTGGCCTAAAGCTTCTGGCTAAGTCCCGACTCTCCTGTGGAAGGTGATTTTCTCAGGTAGGGCCTGCTGGGCAAGCACTGTGTCTCCGGGGAAGGGCTCACGCTACCTGGCCGCCTCTCTGACAGTGTGTGGTGAATGAGGAGCCTCCAGGCGGCTTCCCTGAGGGGTCCCTGGCTGCTGAGTGATCTCAGCCTTGTGATGGAGGTGTCTGTCTGGGTACTGGAGGAAGGCTCTGAATCTGAGAACTTGGTGGTGCTGCAAAGAAGGACAGCCAGTCCCAGCTGGACGCCAGGTCCTTGGCCACAGAGCCTGCTCCTGGGGAATGGCCAGCCCTAGCTCTAGCCTCCCACCCCAACTGCACAGAGAGCTGGCTGCCCAGATCTGCCCTTCCCCCTTCTCCTCCCAGCCCCATGGGTCTGTATTGGGTCGGCAGAGAAGACTCTGTCCTCTGCATCTGTGTTGTCCCCCGCTCCACCCCAACACCCAATTCGACATTTCCAGCCCCCATCTTGCCCCTTATCCGAGGGAATCACTTCCCCCCAGGGTAACTAGAAAGGACAGAATACCTAGAGACCAAGTTCTGTCCCCATTTTCCACAATGATTGGTCAGAGCTGAACACATGACCCTCTATGGGCCAATCGGAGCCCATAGGGAAGTCCCCAGAATTTGGGCTGAAACTAGGAAGAAGAAGCATCCTTCACACTGAAGAACCAGCTGGAGCTGATGCCAACCCTTAGGAACTTTAGGCAAAGCCAAGCAAGCAATAAAAACAGTGTGGAGAGGGCTGGGGATGTGGCTCAAGCGGTAGCACGCTCGCCTGGCATGCGTGCAGCCCAGGTTCGATCCTCAGCACCACATACAAACAAAGATGTTGTGTCCGCCGAGAACTAAAATAAATAAATATTAAAAAAACAGTGTGGAGAAAAGCAGAGCCTGGAGATGGAGAGAGGGGACTTCTGACACAGGGTTCAGCATGGTGCTTAATGCACCTGAGTTACCCAGAAAGCACAGCCTGAAGTCCTCTTTGCTACTTCTTTAGGGAAAGCGTCCCCAGACCGCAGGGACGAGGGGCAAGGCCAGTGGGGTGAGAAGCCGCTGCTACCTCTCTAGGCGATGCTGACTTTCAAGACCACCTCTCAAAAGCAACGTGCATTTCACCTTGGGACAGTCCTCTAGGGAGAAAGGGGTTAAGAAGTATCCACTTCTCCTATCTCCCACAGGTCAAAGGTTTGCTTAATGAGTCATTAACTCCCCTCTCCGCCCCCACCTCTGCAGATTAATTCTTTGGGGAGCCTCTGGAACAACTGGAATTTAGTCTTTGGGAGAAGGCTGGAATTAAACAAGTCATTCAAGATGAGGGTTTTTAAAAATCACGAAGGGGGATCGGAAAAGGCCTAAGAGAGGCGAGTCCAAATGCAGGCCACGAGGAAGAGGTGCGGGTGCGGGCAAGAAAGCGCCACCAGGAAGAGAAAACAGCGGGAAGCCCTGCGGCCACACAGAGCCCCGGGTGCTCTTTTTACTAAGCATTTAGAGTGAGGCCGATCAGTAAGCATTTATAGAGCACCAAGTGTACACGGGAACGTGGCCCCCTATTGTTGGGGTCGCCCCGCTCCTTCACCCTTTCTTTCTGGGAACGGTGCCTTCTTCCTTCCTGCCCCCCCAGCCCTCCCCCAACTCGTGGTTACCGTAGGAACAACCTCGGAGGACCGCACCCCTCTGGCCACCGTTGATTGGACTAGAGGTGAACACCTCACCCAGGCTGGACCAATCAGAGTCTCGGCCCCTGGAGACTGGGGAGGTTGGGAGTGAGAGCATTGAGGCTCCCTGCAGGGCTGGACAAGTTGCACGTCGACTCGGGAGATGCTGGCAGGCCGGTTTTCAGCGGAATGGACTAGGAAGCAGGGAGAGACTCTTTTGCAGAGGTGTTAATGAGGCAGACCCAGACGCGAGGAACTGAGAGAGCTTGGTTCCTGGGCGTCCCAGACGTGGCTGCACCCCTGCCCTGGGGCTCTTTGAAACAAAGCCCTCCTTTTGCTTAAACCGCATCCAGTGGGTTTCTGTGTTAGCAACAAGTCCTGACTAATACCTCGCCAAGTGCTCAGGCTTTATTGATGCAGTCTCAACCCTGAAGAAGGTCATAAACCAGCGGGAGAGACTGACATATACACTAAACATTAACTACAGGGGCCCCGAGTGCTTCAATAAAGTAGCTCAAAGCAGGGAGATTGTGCAGAGATAAATTAAGATAAGAGATGTAAAGGGGGTTTTGAAAAGTAAAGTGTGCTATCTAAGTCTCCTATAATTATGAGTCTCGATTTCATTTCTACTTTTGATTTAATCAGGAACACAGGCACGTTACTTTCAGAATGATGCTATTTTATAAGGCAGTGCTGGCCTGTTATCTGGCGAGGGGTGAATCACCCCAGATTTCATGCTCTTATTTCCTCATCTGTGTTTGGTGAGTGGATGGGTAAATAACTTTCCAATTTCCTAAAGACTTAGGAAGCATTTGACAGTCTGTCTCTGCTGCCGTATGTCAACTTTCTGATTTTTCTGCCCCACCTGCATCAACCTCTCCTTGACTCCATGAAATGTAAAGGCTGCTGACTCACTGAAATAAAATCTTGCAAGTGAATCACTGATTAAGTGGCTGATTGACGTACCATTGCCATTTTAACCACGCGATGGTGACAGTATGTCTGGAGAGAAGGTGTGACCGTTTCCATCTAACCAATCTTGGAAATCACCCTGCTCAAGGACGCTTCACAATGTTCAGGTAATTTATGAAGGGGCAATGATATATTGTTGAGAAATGCCTTCTCTTCGCCCTTGTCACCTGCTGATTCCTGGTGATTTGTTGATGGTGGAGATAGGAGGGCAGGCATGGTGTAGGAGCACCAGAGTTTACAGAAGCAAGGTGGGTTTTGATGTCATTTGACTTAGGTTCAAATCCCAATCCTACTGATTACACGCTGTGCTGTCCTGGGTAAATCACACGTATCCCTTGGCATCCTTGGGAGGGTTGGTTCCAGGATCTCCTCTTCCCCGCAGATGGCAGAATCTGAAGATGCTTGAGTCCCTTGTAAAAAATACCATAGGATTTCCATAGCATTTACACAATCCTCCCTCATATTTATTTATTTATTTATTTTTTGTACCTGGGTTTGAACCCAGGGGTACTCAACCTCTGAGCCATATCCCCAATTTTTTATTTTGAGACAGGGTCTTGCCAAGTTGCTTAGGGTTTCGCTGCATTGCTGAGGCTGACCTCGAACTTGTGATCCTCCTATTTCAGACTCCCCAGTCACAGGAATTAGAGGCATGGGCCAGGAAGCTGCATACTTTAAATGATCTAGATTACTGTCAATACTATATAAATAGTTGTTATACTGTATCATTTAGAAAATAATAACAATGGGGGGAAGTCCACATATTCAGGACAGATGCATTTTTCCCCAAATATCTTTGATTACAGTTGGTAGAATCCTGTACATGGAAGCTGCATTTAGGAGGGGTGATGGAATCAGGCAAGGTAATCTGCTCCTAAGGATCAGAATCTTTTAACAATCAATCATAGTTAAAAAGAATGATGAAAGTAGGACGAAGGGGCACAGACATGTAATGCCAGCAGCTTGGGAGGCTGAGGAAAGAGGATGGCAAGTTCAAAGCCTGCCTAGGTCACTTAGTGAGACCCCGTCTCAAAATAAAAAGTAAAAAAGATTGGGGGATGTGGCTCAGTGGTTAAGCTTGGTGGTTAAGGTCCAATCCCTGGTACCAAAAACAAAACAAAACTTAAAGAAGATGGATGATGGTGGGAAGCCGAAGTAGGAGGATCACATGAGGTAGGAAGATCACAAGTTCAAGGCCAGCCCCCCCAACTTAGTGAAACTTTGTTTCAAAATTTAAAATAAAAAGGCCTGGGATGTAGCTCAATGGTAGAACACCTGAGTTCAATCCCCAGTGCAAAATAATAATAATAAAAATAAATAAAAATAAAGACAATGATGGGTTTCTGGAGAAGGGTGTAGCTCCTTGGAAGAGAATATGTTTAGTAGTGATTGTGTTGCACGCGCAGACTCTGGGTTCTATCTCAAAAACAAAACAAACTGAGTTGGTGGACATGATCCTCTGCCAGCACCAACTTGTATTTTGCAGAACTTTCTCACATAAGTTAATAGTAAGTGCTATCACAGTGCCTGGCCTCTCAGAGCACTTTATCTCAGTTCCCTTTCCACAAAAGTGATTACAACCTGGATGCTTTCTCCAGCCAGATCTTTTCCAGAACGTGTCGGTGAAACTGGGAAGTCCCAGCACACCCAACCCACGCAGTGGTTCCCAGAGTGCGGTTTACCTACTGAAGTGGCGCCACCCTGTGGTAACGTCATGAACAGCGTACGCTGTGGATCGCAAGTTTTGAAATGAAGGAATTGTAGATTCATTTTTAATGGGCCGACGTTCCGCATTTTGAATGAAGCCCTATTCTATTTTTGAATGTACGAATATTTTATTGCTCACCTTTAAGCACAAAGTATACCTCCAGCCATTTTCTTTCACAACTTAACAAACATTTGTGAATATATGAAAACCCAGACAGAAACATCATGTCATATAGGTTTCAGAAGAAGATAATGGAAAACATCAAGTCAGCCAGACTTTTGTTTTCTGAGACAATAATAAAGGACCTCTTGCACTAAGCAAAAATCTGTCTTACTTCGTAATGCATTTCTTTCATTACAAAAAAATTTTTTTCCTGCCCACAGTAAACCAACTTGTATTTGCTGAGCCAGTGGTATTAGCTCATGCATAAAATAAATTCCAAAGGAACTGGGGTGTAGCACAGTGAAAGTGTGCCTGCTTAGCACTCAGCATGTGGGAGGTCGTGGGTTCAATCCCAGCATGTACCCCCTCCCTCGCCAAATTAAACACACACACACACACACACACACACACACACACATTTGAGTTAATTGTTTCTTCTAGCAGATTTCAAAGAATAGTAAGGTTGAAGGAGGAAATTGTTTTGGATGGATATAGGTCAATTTGAATTGTTACACTTTAGCTAAATGCTTCTATGTATTATAGTTTCACAATTTAGTTTGCTCTTTAATCTTTGTGGATCTGGGTGGTATTCAAGATTTTCAAAGTTGAGCTGACAGTCCGGCACTCCATCAACGGAATAAGACACTGAATGTGCTCTCTGCAGAGGAGCTCATTTAACAGCAACTGACCTAGCAGTTCTGACAGGAAGCGAAGGGGCACAACCTACCCGAATAAGAAGCCAGCCAGGGGCAGAACGATGTTTAGAAAAAAGACATTAAAATCCTTCAAGAAAAACACATAAAAATGAATTGTTACTGTGAGGAGCATTTACTGGTAGTAAATCTAGAAAAGTCTAGGTGAAGTCTCATTTTCAACATTGAATATTAAAAGCATACAAATTACTGATTCAAGTAACTTTTCTTTCTTTTTTTGGTACTGAGGATTGAACCCAAGAGTGCTTAACCACTGAGCCACATCTCCAGCCTTTATTTATATTTTAGAGACAGGGTCTTGCTGAGTGCTAAGCACCTTGCTAAATTGCTGAGGCTGGCTTTGAACTCTGAGATCCTCCTGCCTCAGGCTCTCAAGCTACTGGGATTACAGGTGTGCACCACAGAGCCTGGCTAAAGTCTTCTTCAAAAGAGTACTCAAGTTCTGATTGTGGAATTTGTCTACTGGTCAGTTAAATGCAATCTTAATTATCTTTTAATTAACTACTTAATTATTTTTGCAGGGCTGGGGACAGAACTCAAGTCCTCTTGCATGCTAGGCAAGTGCTCTACCACATAGGCCCCACACTGAAAAAAAATTTTTTTTAAGAGAGAGAGAGAGAGAGAGAATTTTTTAATATTTATTTTTTAGTTCTTGGCAGACACAACATCTTTGTTTGTATGTGGTGCTGAGGATCGAACGTGGGCCGCACGCATGCCAGGCAAGCGCGCTACCGCTTGAGCCACATCCCCAGCCCTGAAATTTTTTTTAATAGAGAGCTTTGTTTGATATGTATGTTTCTCCAATAAACCTCATTATGCCAGTCCATTAAACAAAAACAGAATTGAAGGAAGACTTACAAATGCTTATGCCAAGCAGGACTCTGCCTGCCACCTGTAACCTCACATTAATTCAGGATTCTGAAACTGAGATTTTATTATCGGAGCTCTAGTAGAATGTTAGGTTCTACAACCTCAAATAGTAGGATATCTTTCCTTCCAAATTCGGCATGACTACACTGATAGCCTCCACACCAGAAGCACTGTTCAAACTGATTCGGTTGGTTACAAGTCTGGCCCACCTTTGTCTCCAATCTCCTCCCTGTCTTCTGCAGCCATTTCTCCTGTCCTGCTGGACACTGGGCACCTGTCCTGCTGTGGCCACTGTCTGGATCACCATGGTGCCCACCATCTTTTTTTAGGGGGGGGTGCTGAGGATTGAACTCAGGAACACTCAACCACTGAGCCATGTTCCCAGCCCTATTTTGTACTTTATTTAGAGACAGGATCTCACTGAGCTGCTTAGCACCTCACCATTGCTGAGGCTGGCTTTGAACCCATGATCCTCCTGTCTCAGCCCCCAGAGACACTGGGATTACAGGCTTGTGCCACCAAGCCTGCAGTGTCCTCCATCTTAGTATCTATTGTCCTGCTGGTATTTATTTCCTGTGCATGAGGATGCTTGGAAGCCCTGTAACCACCACCCCATAGCCACCGCTCCTGGCTGGAAACTCGAATGTCAGTAACAAGCCTCTCCCCCACTCCCCCATCTCTCCAGCCTCTTCTATGCTTATTTTTTGTGCCACGGAGCCACCCTTGGGAGTGGGAGTTCGGTTTCTGTCAGGCGCCCTGCCCATCATCTTCTGGATGGTACCAGCAGTCTTTTCTCTCGGAGAGCCACTGTTGTCCTTAAAATTCTTGACAAGTCCTGCCTTATGGCTCAAAGATGGCCAAGAGAAGTAGTAATTTCAGAAAAGAAGACGGAATATTTTGGCTGGTAAACCTGAGAAGTTTTTTCCATCTGATCTTTTTTTTTTCTTTTTTTTTTTTTTTTCTTTTTTTTTAACAGAGAAGATTTATTTATTTTTTTAAGAGAGAGAGAGAGAATCTTTAATATTTATTTTTTAGTTTTTGGCGGACACACATCTTTGTTTGTATGTGGTGCTGAGGATTGAACCCGGGCCGCATGCATGCCAGGCGAGTGCGCTACCGCTTGAGCCACATCCCCAGCCCTCCATCTGATCTTTATCTCTGTTAGTCCAGTCAAGCACCGGACTGTGACATCCAAATGTTTTATTAGCGGCTTTTTGAGACTCTGTATCCATTGGCCATGGCTTGGTAAATTGCTTCTGTCTTTTCCCTGTGCTGATCCCCTCCTTCAATAAAGACTTTCCCACATGATTAGGTGGAACTGTGGCTGAAGTTTCCTTTAATGTTTCTCAATCCTGCAGGGCACTGTGGCATATGCCTGTAATCCCAGTGGCTCAGAAGGCTGATGCAGGAGGATCCATGTGTTTTGCAGGCCAGACTGGGCAACTTGGCAAGACCTTGTCTTAAAATTAAAAACCAAAAAAGGGCTGGGGCTGGGGCTGTGGCTCAGTGGTAGAGTGCTTGCCTGGTATGCGTGAGGTACTGGGTTCAATCCTCAGCACCCCATAAAAATAAAATAAAGATATTGTGTCTATCTACAACTAATTTAAAAAAAAAAAAAATCAAAAGAACCAGGGATGTAGCTCAGTTGTAAAGCACTCCTGACTTCAATCCCCAGTACCATTTGTGTGTGAGTGTGTGTGCGTTTGTGTGAATTCCCCCCTCCCCCACCCTGTGAAGAAATGGCACATACTGTACCCAGAGGTCCAGATATTCCCAGAGCCACACACAGGCCTGTCAATTCTTGGAAGACCTCATCGCCACCTCAAGATCTTTCTAGAGGAACATTCACACAGAGCATTCTGGCGGCTTTGCAGCTCTGAAATAAGGTATGTGAGTAGAAGGGGCGGTTTCCTGAAGGAGAAGGTCTTGGTCCTGTCCCCAGATGTCTGTGGGAGACCCAGGCAGCTCTTCTTTCCCAGGAGCGCACCCCCCTCAAGCTGGACTTCAGCCACATTTACACACTTCCTGCTACTTTACAGAGCACTCTTCCTTCAGCTCTGCACAGTGTTTAGTAACCTCTGCGGAACTGGAACTGGATGCAGCAGAGACAGCCCGGGACAGAGCACCATCCCCCACCAACGGACCCTCACCATCTCCATCTTCCTGCGACTCCACAATGTCAGTCTCCACCAGGTCGTCCCCACAATACGGTGGCATTCCAATTCCCAGGCGCCAGGCTCTGGCCTCACTGCTAACTTACACATAGGATCCCTCCCTGGAACACTTAGGTCCTTTTCTCTTATTTTACATTATGGTATTTCAGATTTCCACAATTCAACTTCCCATAACAATGAATTACATTATATTTGATTTGCTTAACTCTTCTAAAACTCCAGATTCAGGGTTTCTATTACAGTTTTGCCATCCAGGACATTTGTAGGAGAGCTGTTAAGTTTGGGGATTAAAGTCACAGAGTGTGTGTGCCTGGTGCTTTTGTCTTTCTGTGGACATCCTGTGGCTGTTACGACAGCCTCAGGCGGAGGGCACTGTGGGGTCACTTCCATGTTAGGACAAGGACCATGAAGCTGAGAGCTTTCAAAGTTTGTCTGATGTCCTCTAGTTCCTGACAGAACTAAGCCTGGATCTTACCTCAACTAAAACCGACCGTTGGGCTGGGTGTGGCTTGATGAGCAAACACTCACCCTAGTGTGTGCAGGGCTCGGGTTCCACCCCTGCATCCAGACAATCCTCAGGTGGCATTTACCTTTGGATTTTAAACATATCGTTGTCCTTTCTTCCTTTCTCTGCCCTTCCACCCACCTCACGATGGATGAGAAACTGTGTAGGCCTCAAATCAGACTGACTTAGGTGTATGTGCCGGTAGTTACCAGCTTGTGTAGCGTGGGTGGATACCACACCAGCCTTACTGGCCTCTGCCTTTAAAAACAAAATTAAGCTCCCCCCCGCCAAACAGGTACATGAACAACACTGGTGAAACCTGAATAAGTCCTGCACACTGTACCAATGTCAATTTCCTGGTTTTGATATAGTACTCTAGTTATGTCAGATGCTGCCATTAGGGGAAACTCATAAAGATTCAGGGGATTTTATTATTTTTGCAATTGTCAGTGAGTCTGTGATTTGTGTAAGGGAGGTGTACTAGGGATTGAACCCAGGAGTGTTCTGTCACTGAGATACACCCCCAGCTCTTTTTATTCTTTTATTTTGAGGGTATTGTAAAATTGCTCAGGCTGGCCTCATACTCGCCATACTCCTGCCTCAGCCTCCTGAGTACAGATGTGTGCCACCATGCCTAGCAAGTCTATGATTATTTTTAAATGAGATTTTAAAAAATTTAGTAACCACTTAATATCAATAGACTCTCCAAAATGTGTGTACTCAACTGGACTTTACTGAACCACAGAGGAAATGCTTATATCATAATATTGCCTGGAAAGAAAA